GTAACAGGAGAATATGGGAGAAAAGAGAGAAACGTCTCATTCGAAATTATGCCAAGAACAGTTCCAGTCTGATGAGGTGAATCACAAAGTATGTAAAGATTTTGGTATGGGAACACGCGTCTAAAGACCAACAACCAAAGAAAGGACGAACAATGTTGAATGCTCTTCCTTTACTATACTATTGTAAAACTGACACAAAAATCGTTATCGGCATCAAAGAACCTGTGGAAGTTACTGATGTCTAACGCCATAGTTTGCCAAACATGCAGATAGTTCGTCAGCTTCTTAACTACACATTGAAGTGAGCTCCAAGGTAGTCCAACTATTCGCTGAAGGCAATTAATAGAAACCATGCATCTAATTGCTTCCTGTATCAACTCTTCAAAGCGCTGCATAACTTAGCAACAAAGTCTAAAGAGAAAGGGAGCCAATAGCGTGAAATTCACCCGGGTTTTGAGGAACTATGCTTCGATAACAGATTTCACTAATCTTGATTGCTTGACTAAACTGGAGTTCTTCCACCCAAACTGACTAATGCATGTACTGGCGCGTTACCGAAGCATTTGATGCAGCAGCATACTGATGGGATTATGACACTCACTGTTAGAGGAAGCTGATTTAGCATGCCCGGAATACACAGAAAACGGAAAAATCGCTAAAACAGGGTACATAAGCTTCAATCTATTCATGTAAACGGTTTATGTCAAGTGATCTTGAATGACAACCAGGAGTGGAATAATTCGAATGATCTGAGACACAGTTCGAGTGATCAGTCATTTCAGCTTACAAATGCAACTCGTTTCCATGGAGATCCAAAGGTACGACTGTCGAATTTCGACGATGCTGATGGAAACATTTCAATTTCCACCTTCTTGGCTTTGACGTACTAAAGTGTCGAGTGTCATCACTGGAAAGCATAAAGTAATCTGGCTTGGAACGAGTGATGAAGATATGTACGTTGGAACGACCTTAGTAAGCCCCTTAATTCTAGAAAGCTCATCAACCCAGTGTACCGGTCACACGATCAGCACGTACTTTGCTGCCCAGTTCGCTGGACAGCTTACAGTAGTTCACACCCAAGCTGATCTGCTGATTTAAAGACTCACATTGTGGCGTTCACTCACTTAGCCTGAGGGACCAAAATTTGGGACCTGATGGCCTCCACATACTGGCTTTGGGATACCGCTGAGATTTATTCAACGTTATTGGTCCAGCTGGTTTCACCATCATCACGTTGTTTTAACCAAGTGATCTGTAATAGTACGAAAGTCTGAAACTCAAGGTTTATGTGTAATATTCAACTTTCTCATTTTAAATTTTCCTATGCGGACTCGTGCCTTTCTTCACAGGTTTGCACGCCTGGTGGGCATACTATGGTCAAATAAGTGTCCAAGAAATTGACCAAACTGTTTGAAAACCATTTGGTTCATCTCGCTGCATTCCGTACGTTGTCTAGTTTAGATATTAAATATGCTAATACGGCAAAAAGCATTTCAAGAGACGGGTGACATTTAAAAAACTCAATTCTGGAAAACTCAGTTTGAGTTTTTTACATCCAAACTGTATGCTTCTACCTGATTAAAACTTCGTTTTGCGGAAAATGACTAAATGTGTAAATTATTTTTTGAAAGCAAGTCTCGATATGGTCTGCATCCTCAAGCTTCTGACTAGTCTGCCAGCAGAAATACGTTGAGAACTTTGGGATGAAAACTGGTGCCAAATATCTATTTGTAATTACAGAAAGCTTAGTATGCAGCTGTTATTACCAGCCGAATGACGTCAATTCTGGAAAGTGAGGGACAACAAAATATTGTTCAGTTGACTTGACACCAACATCCAAAACTTCAGTGCACCACTAAAAATAAAGGGAGTCAGCGCCATTGGTCACCTTTCTTGTACAATGTGAAAAATTTAGCTGTTTCATTTTGTTGCAGCTAGAAAGCTAACTGAACAAGGGGTGCCAGCATGAATTACTTGGGACAATTCAAATGAGCTCTTCTCTCGAGTGAACTGGAAATAGAGAGAGGGTTAGTAAACAAGATGTCACCAATATTGACCTTTCACCCGACTTATACCAGTCACTCTTAACGGGCTTGGATATATAGTGGATGTGCCAAGCCTAGTTAAACGTGATTGATATTATTCCAATGAAGTGTAAGTTTCGCCGACATCCATTCTACGGACTTGTTCTTTTTCCAAGTTTAGATGGTTATTCAAAATGTATAGTTCATAAAACCGAACAAAAACTGTGTGAGGAAGTGGTTGAAAAATAAAGTATGGAACTCTTCATTCCGCATGGGAACAAACAACGGTGTCACCAAGATTAGTTATCGGAAATCGTTCCACTTGGCAAGCTGGTGTCTGTATGTTCACCTTAATTCTTCACAGACATCTGTGCATGGGAAAGTTTATCCAAAATTTGTTTATTCCAGGTGCGAGGTTTCTCATCCAGATCAATTAAATGATAACCACCTGTAAGTGATGCCAAACAGGGAGTGTGAAAAATCTGTTGGACAAATGGACAGTGTTTTTCGATAGCTTCCAGCTGCACCAAAGTTTGCAACAGGAAAGATAAATCAATGCAGTTTTTTCCAGGCTGATCCGAAAAACCAATTAAATAATTGAGGTCGTGCCACAGAGAAGGAATTGTGTATCCTGATCCGAATATCACTAGCAAGGAAATGAATTTGACTTGAAAACGCTTGCAAATTTCATGCAAAAATGTTCAAGTGCTGCAAACAAGATGAACAATAAGCAAGCAGTTCTATTAGTAGCATTATTTGTGTGAGTTCACTTTTGGTGTCGAGAGTAACTGAACTTTCTCGACCTATTCATGTTGCCCCACACAAAAAAACTTTCAGCTGTAGCACCCTTCCGGTGCCTAGCTGTCATGCCGTACGAGGGAAGCACGAGGGCTGGGATACTGCCAGGTTGCCCAAGCCTAGACAGGGGAAGTCGACTGGCAGAGGTCGGGTTCGATCCACGGACCTTCCGGTCAGTAAATTCGCGCTCGAACAACTTGGTCCATCTCGGCCCCTGTTGTCCCACAACAGAGAATAAAACATTTTAAGCAGTTAGCAAAACATGTAGGCAAATGCAAAATGAATCGAAGACGGGCCGTCGAAGGCAGTCTACTTTATGTGAAGTTAGCCTGCTACGGCCAGAGTACAATATCGATGGCATGTCTTGAAGCAAGATGAATTTCTATGAGCAAACAGAGGTTCGCAATGCGTCCTCATTAATAATCACTTAGGTAATTTCGAACAGCTGCACTTGTATAGCTTAGTGTACACGCGAATCTATCTTTTCAGAAACAATGTAGTGCCAGTACTGTAGTCTTCGTTAATAATGGAGAAAAGCTACAAAATGCAGCTAGTGGAAGCGTCCAAGGTGTTGTGATGAAGAGAATTTAACATTAAAAAGACGCTATCAACACATTTAGAAGATCAGGCCAATATGACAAATTACACTAGATGCGGTCAATACGGAGTAAATTGTTTTGAATGCGCTAACGAAGAATGTCGTGCGTTATGATATTCCACCAATCTTTTCAACCAACAAGCCCTGGACTCTCAAGGCATGGTAACTCTTATTGGTTACTTTTTTCCAGCGAAAAATGTCACAGAAGCTTCCTGTAAAAGGCTGAAGTGTGTTTGGAATTCATCCTTTCTGTTTCCACTCTTGACTTTACCCGTCATCATCCATTTCTTTAGCCAAAGAGAGAAAATTTTTTTGTCAGGAATCTCCCATTCCAAAGACGTGGAACAGATGTTGGCTACCACACATGCAACTGTGTCGCTGAGAATTCGGGTGTTCTCATAGGTTCATTACTCTCTTTCTGTCACATGTTGACTTATGGCGCAATGCACAGTTTCCTCTTGGAATGCAAATGGTTGTCGACAACATTCCTTTTGATTTTTTCTACTTTTCTTTTGCGGTAGTGCACACAGAAATTTCGAGTGCAGGCATCCGCTTCCACAGTTCTGTTATGCCCAAAACATGAAGTCCGTAAACAGTTGTTTCTTAGGAATGCAAGAGCTTACAGTGTGGGTCTAACATTCGCTCAGTACCCTATCAGTAGTCTAGTGATGGTAAACTGTGTCACCGTGGTTGAAATCAGGAGGATTACTGAATGATACATTAAGGAAGTTAAAATAGAGAGGTCCCTGACGGGACAAAGTGGTAAAGTGGAATAGCGCTTGGTTTTTTTATTAGGTGGCGGTCGATCTGTTCACCGAGCGTAGCGATCGATTTATATTCAGACTAATTACATTCTCAAGTTGAAAATAGTTTTGGGGTCTGAGATCACTCCTTTTTCGGGTTTCTTGTTTTCTAATACAATGGTATATTCTGGTATATCACAAGTATAGTAGCCTTTTG